ACCTCCGACGTCGACCGGTGGCTCCATGTGCTGTACAGCCTCCACCTTCTCAGGGTCTGGCATAATGCCATTCTGGCTGACGACCACGCCAAGGAACTTTACACTGGTGACGCCAAACTTACACTTGGACCTGTTCAGAGTCAGACCTGCTTTCTTTAAGCGGTCGAGAACCTCTGTGAGACGCTTGTCGTGTTCCACGACATCCCACTTCTGACACCATGTAGAGACCGGCGACCGTCGAGGCCAGAGAGGCACGAACACATACACGCGCCTGGTCCGGGTGGAACGAAACAAGTAACTTCGTCTGCCTCTTTACTCTCTCATATATATACGACCTAATAGTAGCGACCCCTACCACAACAATAAGTACCGAACAACTGCACCGAGGAGCGTGCAAGTCATTCCATGAGACAGCGAACGTCAGGCGAAGTCCAACGCTAGGAGCCGAAGAGCCAATCAGACAGCGTCGAAAGTTCATCACCTTCTTTTTTGTCGGTGTGTTTTTTCCAGTGTGCCGTGACATCGAGGTTTTAGTCCGCCATTGTGAAGGGATTCCACGGCTGCCAACAGAGAACAGTATTTCGAAGGGGGTCTATTCTGCAAATCCTGTCAAATCGCGAAATAATCTGGTCGGAGGCTTGCCGCTGTTGGTTGCTTCTGTTTGTCGCTCTAGTGGGACTCGGATAGAAAAGCAGCGGCCCGTGACAATGATGTCCTGCAGAGACACACGCGAAGGCGGCGGTTCCGATAGGGGCGTAAGGAAACATACGAGCGGCATCCCCGGTGTGGTGCCTGGATTACTATACTACATTTCACCTTACGTCCAGAGGCAACCGACACTACAAGCTGATAGAACCAAGCAAGCAGCGTCAAAAGCGCAAGTCACTGGGCCTTTTCTGTTTAGAATTGGCTCAGCGATCATAGAACACGTACAGAAACATAACCAGCACCACGATGACGCGCTTTTGACGCTGTCTGGTTGGTCCCTTCAGATCGTAGCGTCGGGAGCAAAGTATAGCGGTTGTTTACCTAAGTCCCTACACCCCCCCCCCCCCCACACACACACACACACGCACTACACGTCTCTCTCTCCAGCATAAACCAGGGAAGCGCGGAGACCGCATGCTCCACTTGCGGAGCAGAGTATCGGAACAGTCTCAATTTATTTGCTTCAAGTATTGCGGGAAATGCGAACGTCATCTTTTTCCTTCAAGTATTGCGGGAAATGCGAACGTCGCTCTTGCAGGGGACACGACGGGTCCAACAGCGTATTTGTAAACGGTGGGCGGCACGCGGCATGGCAACGCCGCTCACGCCGGATTAGCTGCTTCCCGAGGGGGACGCGGCCTCGTCACATGCACACTAAACATTTTCACGCCCTGATTGGTGTAAATGGCATGGGTCACAACTCACCCCCTTATTGGTGTACAAAAACGCCCTAGAAAAATGGTGTTATTTCTCACTCCCTCAAAAACCGGTGTAATCATTTACACCCTATACAGAAAGGAGTGATTCTGCTCTACACCTATTTATTAGGGTGTGATGGCAGCAGTACACCCTACCAAAAACGTGTACTGCAGCTAGAAGAGCATGGTGGGTAAACCCCGAGACTAGTGACAAAAAAATTGGGAAAACACAATACTGCGTCAAAATGTCTTGAGACGTGTTGTGTTGTCCCGATTTTTTGTCCTAGTCTTGGGTTTTTTTCACCATAATCCTTCACCAGCTCGCCTGCGCAGTAACTCTCACTTCATTCAGCTACAAGAAGTTATGCTAAATGTGTAACACAGCACTTCATCAAAAAGTATTTACGGAGAAATGATTGCTAACAAATTGAAACATGTGGAACACTTTATTTTTTGAATCCAGAAAAAACGTGCATGGACCTCATCTTCTTCTTTCGCGAATTCGCGAGAAACCAATGTCAAACCTCAAATGCTGGCATTTGTGACCTAGTGTTAAGTTTTTGTGACAAAGCTACAAAATTCTTAGAGGCTTAAAATAAATGCACTCAAACTTTAAATAAGGCTTTCCTTCGCCTAAACATACTTTAAAGCTTTCTAGCCCTGCTGACGTAGGCAAAACTCGACAGGCTGGCAGTGACGGAACGACCGGGAGTTGATTGAGGCGTAAGCAGCAGTTCATGCTTGTAAACAGTAAAATCGTATATTGAGACGGAAGCAGGACTACTACCAGAAGCATGCTTGCAGAGTACTTACAAATAAAACACCGATCTCATGTAATCCGTGATAGTTGCATAATCCGGTTCGGGCACCACAGAAAAATTCGCAAACACAACGTCCAGGATGAAGACGGTTGCTCACATTCAACGGAACTCTCGCCGTCGCCGATGAGCAGCTCTCTGTCGTGATAGATGCACAATCCGACTCGGGCAGCACAAAACTACGCAAACACAATGTCGAGAATGAAGGCGGTCGATCACAATCAGCGGAAGTCTCACGAGCGCCGACGAGCAGTTCTTTGTCGAAACGCGTCCAACAAACACAGCACAATAATTCCATGGACTCCGACGAAATTCACAAATTTTACCAAAAAATTAGTATGAACGTATTCCGGCCGTTCAAGACGAAAAACCACGGCTGCGACTGCAACGCACGAAAAACAGAAGAACACTGACGCCTGACGGAAGCTTTTTAGAAACTGGACCTACGTGGCCCCTACACTCACCGTAATTTGGAATACGGCAAAGACTTCGGCCCCAGTGAGCCCATCAGCGCGTCGGAGCGAGTCACGTGACATATTATAGTCCAAGCGTCCCTGTCCTACGGAGAACGGTCACGTGTTACACACCACCCCTCTGATTTGCTAGAAGCGGCCTTCGCACTCGCTCACAGCCACACGAAGACACAAAAGAAGGTGTGGAGGCTTATCAGAAGACGAGGTCAAAGAGGGGTGGACAAAGCAGCTAATCTCCCTCTGCGGCTTTGTATAAGCCACCTGGGCTGCCCAAGGAGGGTCGCAAAATGGGACACGTCAGGACTTGCTTCACGCAGTGGCGTGCGTGCTCTGATGCCGACCGCGAAATCACGAAATAAAAAACACAAAACAAATTCGAACGCATGAAACAAGAGATGCAATTTCACCCGTACGAAAAAAAAAAAAAAAAAACGAAAAAAAGCATCGGGAGGTTAGATATTTTGGTGTCAACTAAGGATCGCGTACTCTAACCGGGGTGTCATAAATTCGGCACTTTCGATTGTCTTGCGGAATTGTTTCGTCAGAACTACACACAAAAATAAAATCTCAGTGAAGGTGCTATAAGTAGTGCGAGGGCCAGTCAGGTGAGTTTGTAATACACGAAATGAGGGCGCCACGGCCCATAGTTTGTTCAGTGGTTCAGCGCAGGAGGTCTTTCTCTGGTTAAAAGTAAGCAGATTCCGTTTTGCTTCATCTTGTTTTTTTTTTTCTTTTTTAACGTCGGATTTTAGGCGGTTAAGAAATAGACATACCTCGCCGGCATAGGCCATTCATGCGGGAATCTTGACGCTCAACCAAAAACGGCATCGCCTACGGTATGTCAGGATGGCGTCGCCGCGACCCATCCTTTTTTTCACAGATATTGGCTGGACCAAAATGGTAACGGCGCAATTTTTCATATTTGATCCTATATCGGCGCAATGCTGTGTGCTGTTTGGGTTGTATATTGACACGTCTTCGTTCATCTTTTGCGAGTGGAGATGTTTTGTTTTTAAATCGAAGTTGAACTGATGAAACTGACGCACACGCGACACGTAATTTTCGGCTCGTGACGGACGGTGAGTTCGGTCGGAGTTGCAAAAACTATACTCCATCATTTCCTTACCATACGCGACTTCATGTAGCGATTAATTATACTGGATGTTTATACCGCCGTACATCAGCAACAGTTTCAGCAAAGCAATAAGCTTTAACGGATATGAAATCATGGGTGTATTAGACTGGCATCACCATAACGCCCCTTTCACACCGTGTTAATACAGGGCGTATAATTCGCCCATACACCCTTTTACACGATTTCAGACGCCATCGCAATAAGCGAGGTCGTAAAAAGGGTGTGGAAGGGATGAAAAACATCAGCACACCCTTTTTACACCCACCGATATTCAAATATCGTGTAAATGAAGTGTAAGAAGGGTGTTTTTCCTAACTTACACCCTTTTGACACGATTATGGGTGTTATAATGTTTAGTGTGTGCGGTTGCTGCGCCGGCCGGCAGGCGTTGCGCGTTTTAACTTGCCCCCCGTTCACGTCGTTTCGTGGTGACGTTGCGCGTTTTAACTCTGCACACTAAAATTCCAACACCCATGTTCGTATTAAAAAGGTGTTTTTCCGAGCTCACACCCTTCCTACACTATTTTTACACTATTTTTAAACATTCAAGGCTGTACGGAAAGACCTACACCCTGCGGGTACCGAAATCGTGTTAAAAGGGTGTTGCGGTAATACACCCATGATTTTGAAGTCGTCAAAATCGTAAAACCACCAAATTGCAGACATACGCTCCGACAGTAGAAGTCAAGAGGCTGTCTGCTCAATTTAGCGGATTTCGTGAAGTTCAAGCAAAGACATTGGGCGGCTGACATCCAATCTAAGCCAGCGCTCAAGTTTTTCTCAAGCCAGATAGATGCGTGCGTTGTGTACACGCTCCTAGGTTGTTTACGTGCATGCGACCACGAAAATGGCACCGGTTACCGACGCACTTCTGCTCAAAATGGTGAGACCTCATTGGTTATATTATGATATATACTCCGTCTTAACCTACTAAAGCGAAGGCTAGACTCGCGAGATGGTACGGGCTCACAGCTTTGCTAGATACTCAATCTGCATGAGGCTTTGTACAGTGGGACCATATAGCGGTGCTATGAGCTCGTGCTCTAGCCCGAGCCCTAAAATTGGTTTAGACATCAGTTTTTGTGTGTCCATCATCTCCACTGCGCACTTATGCTTCTGTCTGGGTAGCTAACCAGAAAGGGGCATGTCCTTTCTGTTTGTTTTACAGACAAGCTGGCAGTGGCAGCCCTTCACAACATCTGCAGCAACGGCAAAAGCCAGCAGCTTCGAAGCTAATATTTGTCAATTAAAACGTAAGTACAGACATTAATATAAAAAAATAGGAAGCTCTATAAAAGGGGGTTCAACTTTGTTTTTGTGGCGTAACTTCCTCACTGCCTTCTAGTAACTGAATCTAAAATGGCATGAGGATTGGCTTTGCTTTTGTTTTCCAAGGAGTGTGCAAACTCAGCCAGATGAATGTGATGGTGGCTAAGCATAAACTTTCTCGCAGATAGTGTTGTGAACAGTAGACTTCATGTGTCCAAGCTGCAATTTATATGCTTCAGGGATTAACACTTTTTCTTGAGTACAGATGCAGGGATAAAAGCTGTGTTTACTTTTATTGCAATAGAGCTTGCAAGCACTCTGTGAAGCATAGGCATGGGCTCAATAAATTCTGTGCCATAGGGTAAATATGGTGCTTTAATGCCATAGGGTAAATATGGTGCTTTAATATGTTAAAGTGAAATGGAACCTTGTTGATTTGTAGGATAGGCATTCTGAAACCCCCAAAATTAGTGTTAATATATTTTACATTTCTTTCATTTATTGAAGTTTGCCATTTCAATCCCCCCCCCCCCCCCCTTGAACCACGAAAAACCTGTTTAAAAATCAAAGTGCTTCTCGTGCCTGTTATGTGTTACTGCTCTTGTTAGTACAGTGCAAACAAGCAAACTTTCACGCATCTCTGTGTTGCATAACACCCATTATTCCAGTGTGCTTTAACACATACATGCCCTAACTGGCGAGCATAAATCTTGCCAGGGTTTCGTGGGGCAGCGCATCAGGTGGCGTAAATTTCAGCTGCTGGTTGCAAGTATTGCTTAAATATCAGTAACGCGCAAAATAACAGGCTACTTTCCTGCGTTCTCCTTTATTTTGCAGTTCCTTTGCCTGCCCATGTTGTTCACCTAAACAAGAAATGATTGCCGTTTGTTTAGGCAGCACGACTTCTAGCTAGAACTAAAAGGTGTGTTATTAATATTGATATGCCAGCTGAGTAGTACGACAGGTGGTAAAATACCAAACATCTGCAAGGCAACCATCTCGTTCCCGAAAGTAGGTATATAAGCTTGAACTGTGCAGAGGCAGAGAAAGGAAGATAAAGAGCGCTGGGTCAGCATACGTCATGTGCCCTCTGCAGATGCTTATGGACTTCTTTCTCTTCAGTGGTCTTCCGCCGCACATTTAATGCATATACCTATAGTCTCTTGTAACCTAAGAACGCAGGAGAAGCCCCTCTCTCATAACGTTTTGCTTGCCATGATTGGCAGTTTCTTCTCCCCTCCAGCATCATTTCTGCTGAAGTGGAAAGGGTGTAGGGCGGAGCTTCTTCTCGTCAACGTACCATCTTAACGCGCAACATACTATTTTCTCGGGGACAAGATAATTGCTTCGTATCTTTTCTGCCGCCACAAATTCTGTGCAGGAAGTAGCTTAGTTCATTTTTGGAAGAGGTTTTTTGTCGTGCATTCGGCTACCGCACGCCACGCTGGGATTTGGCATGCCACTTGTTGCATAAAACGGAGCACTTTCAAGCTGCGCGGACGCAACGATGGCAGAAGGAACACCAGTGGAGCGTACAAAACAAAGCAGGTTATTAACAGCACTGGTTAATTCCCAATAAATCACAACTTTAATCATTGATTACTTCAGAAAGTGTGAGTTCATGGTTACGCGACGCGTGATCAAGTAAACCTACCATGATCACATTAACTTTGTGATCGCATAACGTCCTTTTCCAATGCCGCCGAGAGCGGGTGGCAATTATAGGCAGGCAAGCGCCATCTCTGTAGAAGTAAGCACACCACCAGCGGATCTCTCACTGTTAAAGCTTCTGGGCACACTCGCTCGCACAGCCTTCAGCAGCAAAATATAACCACACCAGACAGCCTGCGTTAATGGCCGAAAGCTGTGCTGTCAGGCAATCTGCTTGCTCGCCTCCAGCAAAGTTCGAACCCTAGCAGTGCACACCTTTCTGATTCAAAACCGACTTCGAGACCCCAGTAGGTTCTAAATTAGAAAACTAACGCCAAAGGGAAGTGAATTTTCGGCGTTGCTTTCCGAAAGGATACGTCATCGGTTTGGTGAGAACGGGAGCTGAAAGCATTTCATGCTTAAAACCATACTCATCAGTGCAGCCTTTACTGCTCTTTGAATAAATTCTGATTTTATATCCAGAAGGGAACAATCTTGATGACACCCTGCGTTGTCTCCTCAGGGCACGATGTGGAGGCAGCGAAGAGCATGAACCTACATATTGATACAGCTCAGCTTTTCGAAGTGCAAGATGCGGAGGATGGCTTGACTGCGGTCATGGTGGCCTGGCTTTCCGGCATCGCGCATATCAAAAAGACAAACAATACGAGCTGCCATCTTGAGAGGCTTTGTCCTATTCTAACCTAGATACTCGCGGCTAGGGCTAGGTGCAAGCCACGGGATTAATACAACCAAGAAAACTCATGTAGCCTGATTTCTGATCACATAGTCCGATCGCCGAAGTCTGGTGAAACTCCTGTCATAATAAGTTTCACAATCCGAAATAACAAAAGTTTTTTTTTTTTTTTTCTTAAAATGGCGGCTGCAAGTTGTGTGACTCATAGTATGCTTCAATTCATGACCGGTTTTATTCGTTTATATTCATCACATTTCTCTAGTCCTATGTGTTGTTTCCAATTCAACTAACTGTGAGGCACCTGTTTGCAGTAGTTCCATTTTTTTCTTTTTTTATGTTTCAAAAACTGTTTGCGTCATACCATGTCTGGAATTCTGCACCGTTAATACGAAATGTTAACTTTAATCTTATGTTGAGATACTTTCCTAAGAATGGAGTAGACTGTCATTCAACGTTGTTCTTTTATCTCTCCTGTTCATACTTTGCACATTACTTCAATCAAAAGACACCACCAGTGTTCGACATTTCCGTGTAAGTGAAATGCTTTGGTTGTTCATTTTGTTCATGGCCTGTTCATTTTTCATAGGACAGTACTGCTATGTATAAATATTCCTGTTTGGCTATTCATTAGAACGTATTTTAACATTAGCTGTTTAAATTTAAGGCTTCCTTTTTTTTTCAGAAGGAAAAGCCCGATATAAACTTGTGCGACACATATGGAAAATAAAGATATGGAAAAAAACCAATTGTTGCCTTTACACTCTTGTTTTCGTTAGTACCTCCATATGAGATGTTCCCACCCCATGCTTGAATTTACACTAACCTTCTGTGCTCTTTTGAAATTTTAGAAGTGGTCAGCTAAGGTTTTTGCAACATTCGTCACAATAAACATAAAGAGGGTCAAGAGAAAAAAAAAAGTGATATCCCAATTTTAAATGCTTCGATACAGATGTATAGTGTGTTGCAAAGTAAGAACAGCAATATAAGTTCCTTGCCAGTACAAACTTTTCAGCCTGTATAAAGTGAGCGCTCACGATCACCCGCTAAGCAGTACGGAAGGTAACTAGCGTGCACTGGAGGCAGAGCTTTTACTGATGCTCGTGTGTTGCAATAGACTATAGCTCTCCTCAGAGTATTTTGCATTTTCAAAATTTCAGAAATGCTCTCTATTTTTTTTTTAAATAGAAGCCAGGCATTGCTATGGTATATTTTTAACATTGTGGCTTTCTTGAAGAATACGGGCATTCTGAAGGTTTGCTAGGGTGACAGGACAGTCGAAGGCGACAAGCGCGAGCTAGTACACGCTCCATCTCGAGCGCTTGTTCTGCAGAAGCACTTCACAAAGTCGCTCGTCACAAAGTTGCCTACTATTACCACCGTGCGGTGGTAATGGTAGGCAACTCCGGCTGACATAAAAAAATCGTCCCGTCACTGCCATACTCCGTTTTCCTTCAAGTGCAACTAAAACCGATATGCCAAGTAAGATCATGTTGTCCTGAACGACACTTGCACTGCACGAGTGCACATGCTTAGCAACATTCAAAGCGCAGAGTTCGCTCTTCAAGCCTCTGCATCGGGCTTCCTGCTGCAGTTCGTGGTACAGAAGTAAGGATTTGGGTGGGCATTCTTTCACGGAAAGAAACTCCACCTGCACCGATCGGTGCTGGGAGCACTTAGTTTCTGTACATTAGATGAAACAAAAAGTCATTGAGCAGTGCAAACTTCAATTATCGTCAGTTAAGAAGTGCTCAGAGGCAATAATTGCTTGTTTCACATACAAAAAGGCTGGAGTATGCTTAAATGCTGGGCTAGCAAGAAATTGCAACCGGAGGCCTTATTCTACACGACGGCACCAAGCGGAATCAAGGGATCCGGACAACGCCGTCTGCTGCGATTTGTCAGCGGCACGGCGTTGACCAATTGTTGCAGACGACGTTGTTCCGGTTCCTTGGTCTCGCTTGGTCCCGCCATGTAGCATAGGGGCCCCGAAGTTAGCTCAATCTTGCCATTTCACGACAAACTTAACATTCTATTTTGTATCCACTGTTGCTTTTCTAAGTATGTTAAAGTAATCCTTACTACATTAACTTTTATTTTCGCTATATTTTCGCTTTTGAGACGAAACGACCCACACCAAACTTAGTTTTCAGGAAAACCACACAATTCCGACTTTATTGCCACAATATTGTCGCATTATATATAGGTACGAAATGCAGTTATGAACATGTTTGAACATGAAGAAAACGTTTTACTTTTGAAGCGGACGAGACTGAACTTGGAGCAAAACAGTTGGGTAAAAAATGCAAACCATCTTGTAAAGAGAAACGCTTTTCATCCGACAGTACAAATTTGTGCAGTGCTAAAAACTGTCCATTGACGTCACTCATTGTTGTGACTCCATAGTACTAAGAATCATGGTATTTGGCTCCTAATAAAAGGACTCGAAACAGCTGCACTCCCTGTTGAAACAGACTGCAACATTGCACTTATGCCAGAAATAGTATGTAAGGTGAGTGAAATAGGGCAGCATACAAAATAGTTGTTTTTCTCTCCAGATTGGCATAGGGTCCACCTTGCCTAGGCACACATAGGTAGTCGGCAGTGGCACCGACAAAAACCTCCTCTCGCTGGCCCTGATGGGCCATTTTAGCTGACAGCCGAGTCTCGCAGCACGCTTGACCTTGTGCAGCTTTCCTGTTTTGCGCAGTGCCTCTGCAGAAGACGATTTGAATTCGAGCAGAGATGTTTTAAAAATATGAAGATACCACTTATCTAAATGAATTTTCATTCAATAATGACCCAGCTTCGTCTAGAAATGCCGCTCCGCCCATCTACATATTATAAACGAGCAAAACGTTTAGACAGGGCACAATGTTGTGCATCTTGTCTTTCGCAAAGTAACACTTGACTTCTCCGGCAGCTTCACTTTTGGAAAAAGTGGACATGAGTGGCTGCCTTGTTGTCACGCCACATTGCTGCTGATAGTTTCGTCCCGGACACCTGGTACACCCTTTCTCCATATCTTCCTCTGTCTCTCATCTCGCTTTTTTTTTGGAAGTGTGCAGCCAGGCAATCGGTTTGCGGCACGATGCCGAGACAGTGCACTCCCTCCTTCTCTAAAAATACTTGCAGCTGAACAGAGGTAAACCAGCGGTCGAAGTACAGCTGGTGGTGAATGTGTTTTGGGACAGTGAGGGCCAGCCTTAGGACTAGGGGGCGTCGCTGCTTACATTCAGGTCGGGATAACCCGAGAGCTGCTTGATGTCCACGGCAATGCTGACACCTCAAAGTCATAGCCAAAGCTGGATTCCCTATACTCTTTGAAAAAAACCTCATAGTCCCAGCGATGTGGCTTCTTGGGGTTGCAGAATTTCAGCAGGCTATGTCCCTTGAAGGGCATGACCTGTTCGTCAACGCCAAGCTTTTCTTCTCTTGACACTCAACTTAACTGATGACGTAAAACTGAAGAAGTAGTCTCACCTTGTGCCACTTATAATGCCCAGCTTCACATAGAGGTACAAATTTGTCGTTATTGTTGAAGTGGAGAAACCGCTTCAATTCCTCTCAATGGTTCAGGTTCATAACTAGTGAAATTTTGTCGTGTCTAATGCTAAAGCTCCAGTAGTGACGGGTGCTTGGAAGCTGAATAACTGACATACTGTAAACTACTTAATGTTACCGAGGACCAAACTTTCGCGAATTTTGCGAATAGCCTACAATTCGCGAAAAATAGGTCCCGCGAACGATTCCGGTAAAACGTAAACACATTAGAATCTGTATTGAGATCCCACCCCGTCGCGAAAATTATAACCCGCGAATTATTCCAAAACTTCAGCTTTTGCCTATATTGCGAAATATTGAGCCCGCAGAAAATAAGTCGTTCACAGTATACAGCGCCATGTAGGGATCCTTTCAAGTTCCTCTACATTTGTTGAGAGAGGCTTTTCAGGGTGGAGGAGGATGAGAAGGAAAAGCTTTATCGCCAAAAAGATACTTATTCTTGGTGGGCCGGCCCTATAGCAGGGCTCCAGTGCTTTTTGCCACGAGTCTTGCCGCTCCAGGAGTGTGGCTGATCTTGAGCCGACACAACGAGAGTTCAGCTCAGCTTCCCATGTCTCGCGCGAAGGGGCGGGGAAGGGGGGGGGGGTGTTGAGTTGGCACGCCCACGTAAGGTGAAAGAGCGACGAAAACTCTCCGCAGTGCGGGCACCTATCTGGGTATCTACCCGGGTAAAATCTTTGTAGATTAGCTAGCTATAGTGTAAGTGCCTGTCTGTGTCTGACACCAGGCTGCGGCCTCCTCTCGGGACAGGGACCCTTCAAGCAAGGGAGAATAGCTTCCTCCGTCCGCGGAGGTGGGCGAGGATCTCGGAGTACTGATTCGGGGCCGGGTGTGGTCTGTCTTCGCGTGACGGCGCCCGGAAAGTACAGGCTCGGGCTATGGCGTGTGCTTGCCGGTCTCCGTCGACAGACTCGTGGCCAGGGGTCAAGGCCAGTTCCACGCGGGGAATTTCGGGGCCCTTCCTCAGGATGCAGCAGGCTTGTGGGGAGACTCTTCCTTCGCGAAATCGCCTAATGCCGTTTGCAAGCCTGAAGGATGGTCACGTGGTCCGTCTTCGTAGGCGAGACGATGGCCAGGGCGATCCCGACCTCCTCCGTCACCGCCGGTTGGATGGTGCAGACCTAGGCCGTGACGATTGTGTCGAAGTCGCTGTCGACCATGCTCACCGCCGCAGCGGATTGGCCGGTTTAGAGTGCCGCATTCGTGTAGAGGACGTCGTCCCGGTTACCTCAAGCCCGTCGCAGAGAATTGGCCCAAGCCGTCCGGCAACGTAGATGCAGGGATGGGATCATATTCCGCGGGATTGGTGCCACCTGGATCTTGTCCCGTAGGGCCAGCGGCAGCTGGATCGTCTCGCATTGCGATACGGGGATGGGGATGCTGAGGGAGCTCAGGATGTGCCGCCCAGTTAGGGTGAGGGCCGGGCGCTCCCGCTGACTTATTAGGTGCGCCTACGAGTTTCTGGAAGGCGTTGTTCAAGCCCAGCCGCAGGAGCTTGGCGTTCGCCGCGTATGGCGGCACCCCCAGTGCGAGCTGGTACGCCTTGCAGATGATCATGTTCATCTTGCCCTTAGCTCTCGACAGCACGTTGAGATACGAAGTTGCGTACGTGACGTTGCTCACAACGAGTGCTTGGGTCAATCTGATTATGTCCGACTCCTTGAGCCCGTGTCAGCGACTCGTTATCTTTCTCATCATACGCATGACTTGCGTGGTTGTCTCGACGAGTCGGTCGACCATGAACTTGTCTACGCCCTCCAGCTGGAGGCGAAGGCCTAGGATCCGGACCTATTCCACCACCGGCACGCGGTAACCGTCCTTGAAGATGAGGTGGATATCCGCCTCCTTGTTCTTCGGGGTTGGCTTGCCCGCACGGAGGAGCAACAGTTGAGACTTGTATGAATGGATGGATGTTAATTGCCATACCCTTTGTAACGGGCGGTACCTTGCGCCGCCTAGCCTAAGTCTAAAAATAAAAGTATATAATTTCTCCCTTCCTCCTTAAAGAGACACTTACAGCCCCCCCCCCCCCCCCCATTTTTTTTTTTTCATGTTTTTCCAGGCGAATCATTATGGTGTCGGAAGACTACCCAACTAATATTTTGCTACCGAGTCGCGTAAATTTTT